CACTGGCTGGTGCCTTCTGCTCAGGGCTCACAGCTGTGACCTCCCCACACCCCATGTCACACATAGCCACAACCCTGCCCACCCCCCTGACTAAGGGCCAATAAGGAATCAGAAATCTGGGGGCCTCATTTGCATGAGTGGCCCCTCCGTCTCTCAGAGTATGAAGAGGGGAAGGGAGAGATTTGGGGAAGCTCTGCTTCAGCTGTGGGGACACAGAAGGCAGGACTGAGTGACTGTCTCCACCATGGCCTGGTCCCCTCTCCTCCTCACCCTCATCGCTCACTGCACAGGTGACTGGATACGGGGACAGGGGAGGGGACCCTGGGAAGACACATGGGGCCCTGCTTCCTCCTCTTGTCTCTAAACCCAGAATCACCATCTCTGTGTCTCTCCTTCCAGGATCGTGGGCTCAGTCTGTGCTGACTCAGCCATCCTCAGTGTCTAGAACCCCAGGACAGAGTGTCACCATCTCCTGTGCTGGAAGCAGCTCCAACATCGGGGGTAATAGTGTGGAGTGGTTCCAACAGCTTCCAGGAAAGGCCCCAAAACTCCTCATCTATGGTAACAGCAATAGACCCTCAGGGGTCTCCAACCGATTCTCTGGCTCCAAGTCTGGCAACTCGGCCTCCCTGACCATCAGTGGGCTGCAGGCTGAGGACGAGGCTGATTATTACTGCTTATCATGGGACAGCAGTCTGAATGGTCGCACAGTGTTCCAGGCCTGTGGGGAAGTGAGACAAAAACCTACTGTCCCATCTACATGGGGCTTCCCTCAGCAGCCCCCACTCCTCTGACAAGACAGCTGCTTACTTTGATTGTTTGGCCTAAAACTGGGGCCTGAGACCCACTAAGGGAACATTGTGTGGAAAATCTGTCCACATCCTTTAACTTCTACCCCCCAAGCCTGTCCTTGGCAGCTACACATTGTGAGATTTTTCTCAAATTGAGCAGCAATTCCTGGATGTGGGGCTGTGTGCCCTGGGAACAGAGTCCATGATGAGTCAGAACAGAACCAGGGACACAGAATCCAGCTGTGTCTGATTCAGGACACATCACAAGTGTCCAATGCATGTCTTGGTACTACGTGGTCCTAGGAATTGGCCCTAAACCCCTACTCTACCGTGTTTCCCCAAAAATAAGACCTAACTGGAAAATGAGCCCTAGCCTGATTTTTCAGGATGCTCATAATATAAGCCTTGCACATAAGCCCCAGTTAAGATCATCAGCCAGACATGACTGTTTGAATAAATGTAGATTTTTGTACATGAATGAATGAATAAATGTAGATTGTTGAAGCAATAATTAATATAAGACCCAGTCTTATTTTTGGGGTAAACATGGTATTATGAGAGTAGATGACCTCAGGGTCCTTGATTGATATTCAGGGTCAAGTCTCACAACCCAGGCAATTTTGCAGACACTGGGCTGATGTCTGATGATGAGGCTTCTTCTCAGTGCCACTCCTGTGACATCACCCTTGATGTTCCCAACGGCTCCAGGCTTGTGGGTAACTGACACCAGAACCCCCTTCTCATCTGCCTAAAGCAGAAAGGTCCCAGCAGCTGCCTGCTCAGCCTCAGCCTGTGGCTTCTGCTTCTGCTGCTGCTGCTGCCACCATGTTCCCAGCTTCATCCAGGGGCACCGCCTTGGAGGGAAGGCTCCTTCTCGCCCTTCTGTCCTCAGAGTCACTAACCGCAGCATCTTCCGAGACAAAGGTTCTCAAAGGAAACAGAAAGTCCAGCACCTTATCAGCTGGGGACCCAGAGTCTCACACTGAAGATCAGAGGCTGAATTGGGGGTTCCTGATCTGGTCACCTCAGACCTGAACTCTGACTGAGGAATTCTATATCTGCATTGTGGGCAATTTACATATTTCTGAAAGTTTCTAGAGCTGAGTTATCCTTCCATGAGTCCTCAGTGTGAATGTGTTTTCTTTCTGCTTAGGGGAGAGAGCTGTGGGTCATACTGATGCCCACCCTCCATCCCCAGGTAGGAAAAGGCTGAGCCTGCTCTAGTGGGACTTGGGCAGTGATCCCCACCCATGTGTGACTCTCCTGCAGTTGTGACTGCTCTAACCCCATGGAGAGAATGGATGTGGGTCTCCCTCAGACCCTGGGAAAAGCCAGCTCATCAATTCCTTCCTCACATGACTACAACCATCACACAGCCAGAGTCACTCAGAGACTAGACATGAGGAATGGCAGCATCATAGTTTCATGAATTGATTCCTTCCCAAGAAGGAAGGGGAAGAATGGGAGGGACTCAGTGTCCCACGTTCCCACGTGAAGCTCAGGAGGCGGTGCTGTGCTGGATTCCTACATGGCTCCAAGTTCACATGCAGTAAACAACCCACATGAGGACACTGCCTGCTATGCAAGTGCAGCTCATAGAAATTTCCTGCCCTCGCCTGCAATGCGGTAGCTGTGCACCCATCCCCCACCCCACCTGGAATTCCAGAACTGTCACCTGCTCCCACTCTGAAGACATGCATATCAGCCAACTGAGCAGAGTCAGCTCAATTAAGTTCCCTGCACTAGACACCTCATGACGGGGAGGGCAGGTGGACATGGGGCTCTTCTGATTGGAAGGAGGGGTGTGGAATATTCTGAGAGAAGGGAGGCAGGAACTTTCCGAAATTGGAAGGTACATGGTGGATGACAGGGGACAAGTGTCTGAGCTCACAGAGGCTTCTCTGAGCTGAGAATGGGAGCACTGTGACTGGACCAATCTTCCCGGGGGTTCATCTTCCTCATGTCCTCAGCCATTCGTTCAACCACACTCTGCAGGTTCCTGACAACTGCCCAGTGGAGGGGCAGATGGTCTGTGTGCAGACCCACAATGAACCAGGCAGAGACGTCATTTCTCTTGGCCTCAGATACTCCTCCTTCTCCTGCTCTTCCTTGTATTATGTCCTCTGCCTCTCTAGGGGACCCCAAAACTTTGAGTTCCTGCTACCAAGGTAATTTACCTATTTCTCCACACCCTAATGCACCTGTATTCTCAGAGGACAGGGAGGAAATTCCACCTACACCTGGAATTTCAGGAGGGACCCATTGTCCTTTTGTTAACTTCCCCAGGAAGAGCTCTGCCCTGGGCCACATTACACCATAATCCCTCCAAAGAATCTGCTCTTTCTTCCTGTCTTCACCTCCTTGCACTCACATCTCTTTTGTCCATGACCAGAAGGAGAGCCCGGGCCATGTGTGTGGAGTAGATATATGGGCATAGATCCCCACCTGATACAGAGAAGATGCATCACCTCGAGGGGGTCCATGTTGTGTGAATTATCCCAGTGTCTTCCCAAGTGACCTCATTCATTTCGTTTCTCATACAGGGAGCTCCGAGATGGGGCAGAACCACCCATCAGGAGAGGAGCAATCGTCCTTGACAACCTTCTCAGCTATGAATTCTCTTAGATGGTCCCCATCGCCCCTCTATATAAATTACTGTCTGGTGAACAGCCATGAACTTTTTTCTTTGCATGTATTGTCACTTACTTTTCTAAGGTCTAATTTTAGACACTAACCAACATTTCAAATATCCTTCTTGTATTTGAAAATTATCATTTTATAATCTCTGATTCTCAGAATAAGGAATAAATATCCAATATTTACTATAAATGTAAAAATATAATTAAACATGTTTCAGTAAAGAATCATAAGAATCCATAAAATAAAAGTATAAATATCTGGAGGTAAGTTATAGTAAGAAACTTCTAGGTTAATAATCGCAAAATTCAAGAGGAAATATAACAGAAACATGAAGAAGTGGAATGGAGTAAAAGTTGTCTCCCCACTTCCAAATAATCTGACAGTGCAAAGAGGGTACAAAACCTGTGGAGTTGTTTTTTTTTATGTCATTGATCTTCCCGGAGAAAGAGGATTATGGGTGAAATGAGGAGGTGGGAGGAGGTGGTAGAGGCTTGAGGAGAGTGTGAGCCACTCACCTAGCAGAGAGGCCCAGGTGAGATGAGGGTGCTGACAGTGTTGCCCAGGGGCCAACAGCCTTAGAAACTAGAGCTAAAAGGAGGTGCTCTGTTCTCATTCCTAACAGAACTAGTTCAGGCATAAAAGAGGGCAGTGTTTCCTCTTGAATATTCTGGTTACTTTGTCACATGGCACCAATAAGAGAACAGTAGGTGCTCTAAAATACATGTGTTTCAAAAGTTCTTAGATACATACATGTGGTTTTTCTCAAGATGAAAAAAATAAATAAAAAGCTTTATGCCTTTTCTGTTTCCCCAATAAGTAGTGCAGGCAGCGCTGGTTCCATTTTGTTCTTTAAACCATCATATGTGTTAAGTCCGCCATTTGTGATTGCTCATTTTACTGCAGGGCTTCACTCTTGTGCTCTCATCAGCCTCATTTCCTGTTACTCTACTGTCCCCCAAAAGAAAAACAGACTTCTCATAACCCTTATACAGGTCTATCTAGTATCTCCTTCAGGAGTTAAAAGTAGTACTAGCCTACAAAAATCATTTTGTTTTTGTTTTTGTTTTTTTAAAGATTTTATTGGGGAATTGGGGGGATGGGAACAGCGCTTGGGAATTGGAGGAAGGGAAACAGACAAGTTGCTGTCCTTTTGTTCTTCACTGTAGTTGTGGAGGATGTCGCTTCACTGGCCCAAGTTGGCACCACCATTGCACTCTTCCCAGGTGAGCCAGATCAGTCGCCGGCTTCTGCACGGCCGCTCACGCTGGCTGCTGGCTACACACGGTAGTCCATGGCAACCCACTGCCACAGGGTCTGCAGCCTACGTCATCGCCGGCTACTCACCGCAGCCCAGCTTCAGGTTGAACTGTTGTTCAGCATCTTAGCTGTGGAGGGCAGTGTCACTGGCCCTCATATATGGGATCCAACCCGGGGCCTTCTGGCGTCCCAAGCTAGCTCTTAACCATCGTGCCACTCGGCAGGCCCACATTTGGTTTTCTGTACAATAAAAATGAAGAAGCCTAAAAGGACAATAATAAAACAGTATATGGGCTATGGCATAAAAAATAATAAAATACTTAAGAATACATGTAAGCAAGTAGGCACAAAATTTGTAAATTGAAACCTACAAAACATTGCTGAAAAAGAATTAAGGAAGGTTTAAGTAAGTGAAAGGACAACCATGTTCATGGTTTGGATGACTTAACATTGTGAGGGTGTCAAGCAAAACTACCCACATCACCTGCATGTTCAATGTGGTCCCACCACGTGCTCACTTCCCCCAGTCCAGTCCCACAATATCTACTGCTCATGGCCTTCTGGTTCTTTGGTTGGGAAGATAGTGCATAAATATCAGTTCTTTTGGATCTTAGACACCCAACCCTATTAATTCCATAGAACTCTTAACACAAAATCTTCATTAGGGCCAAAAGCACGTACAGTAATAGTCTGTGAAGGTTTTCAGTAGAGGAGTGGAAAAAGACCCCTGTAAAGGGAGGAGGGATTCATTTATAGTGATGGTCTTTTTAAATCAATCTTCATACTGAGAAGAATGACAAAACTAGACTAAAGATATATTAACTATGTCAGAGAGTCTGTAAATAAAGTAAGAAACGCCAGGCTCATATTCAAGGGAAAATGAGAACTCATAGAAGTAAGCGGGATCAGAGGTCCATTTTCCCTGACAGCATTCTCAACTCATGGCAAAGACAGGCACCAAAGGCCTGTGCAGTGTGGGCTGAGGGAATGTGCCAGGAGACTCTAAAATTAACAACAGTCAAACACTAAGAGTAGCCGATGGAGAATACTTTTTTTTTTTTAAGATTTTTATTGAGGAATTGGGGGGATGGGAACAGTGCTGGGGAATTGGGGGAAGGGGAACAGACAAGTTTCTGTCGTTTTCTTCTTCAGTCTATTGTGGAGGACGTTGCTTTCCTGGCCCAAGTTGGCACCATCATTGTGCTCTTCCCGGCGAGGCAGATCAG